ATTTCTTAAGCTGAAGGAATTGAAAAACAAATTCAAGCCACAAGTGGCAATACTTAAGAATGCTTTGGGCAGAATGTTAAATGATTCAAGAAGCATTAAGAGAAGAAGATGGAGGGAGTATACAGAGTCAGTGTACCAAAAGGAATTGGCTGACACAGAAGGATTTCATGAAACAATGTATGAACAAGAGCCTGTGGTGATGAAGGAAGAAGTTCAAGCTGCTCTGAGAGAATTGGCAAAAAACAAGGCTCCAGGAGTTGATGGCATACCAATTGACAGATTTCAACAAACAGACGCTGCCCTGGATGCTCTCACTAAGTTGTGCCAAGAAATCTGGAGGACAGCCAGCTGGCCAACTGACTGGAAGAGATTGGTATTTGTTCCAATTCCAAAGAAGGGTGACCCAACGGAGTGCGGAAATTATTGAACAGTATCATTAGTATTACATGCAAGCAAGATTCTGCTGAAAATTATCCAAAAACGACTAGAGCAACACGTTGACAGAGAACTGCCAGATGTGCACATTGGGTTTAGAAGAGGCTATGGTACTAGGGATATTATAGCTAATGTTTGATGGATCTTGGCAGAAAGCAAAGAATACCAGAGGAATGTCTATCTGTTGTTTCATTGACTATGCAAAGGCTTTTGACTGTGTGGATCACAACAAATTGTGGCTAACTCTGAGTCTGGGAATCCCAGAACATTTGATTGTGCTTATGCAAAACCTATACTTGAACCAAGAGGCAGTCATCAAAACAGAACAAGGAGATACTGTGTGGTTCAAAATTGGGAAGGGGGTCCGCTAGGGATGTATTCTGTCTCCATACCTTTTCAATTTGTATGCAGAACAGATCATCCTGGATGCTGGGCTGTATGAGGAGGAATGTGGCATCAGGATTGGAGGAAAATTCAGCAACAAACTGCAGTTATGCATATGACACAACCCTGCTTGGTGAAACTGAGGAGGGCTTGAAGCGCTTGCTGCAGAAGGTCAAGGACTGCAGCCTTCAATATGGATTGAAGCTCAACATCAAGAAGACAAAGATTCTCACCACTGGACCAAATGGCAGCATTATAATGAATAGTGAAGAGATTGAGGTAGTTAATAGTTTTACTTTGCTTGATTCCACAGTCAACACAAGAGACGAATTGCATTGGGAAAGTCAGCTGTCAAGGACCTCTCCAGAATACTGAAGAGCAATGATGTCAAGCTGGAGACTAAGGTGCACCTGATCTGGTCCATATATGCTCTGCATTGGAGAGCTGGACAGTGACTATGGATGATAGAAAGAGTATTGATGTCTTTGAGCTGTGGTTCTGGAGAAGAGTGTTGAGCATAACATGGACTGCTAGTAGAACAAACAGGTTCATCCTGGAGAGGGTGAAACCAGGCTGCTCCTTGGAGGCAAGGATTCTGAAGCTTCGTCTGACATGCTTTGGGCGTGTTGCAAGGAGGAACAAGTCCTTAGAGAGGAACATCATGTTTGGGAGAGTGGAGGGACGGCACAGAAGAGGAAGACCCTCGATGAGATGGATCGATTCCATGATTTGGGAAGTGGGAGTAAGTGTGTCGGAGACAGTGAGGTTGGCACAGGATAGAGCAGGGTTTAGGGCTCTTGTACACAGGGTCACTGTGAGTTGCAAGCGACTCGATGGCACATAGCAACAGTTGTCCTTGCTGTGAAATAGTCTTTCCCTGATGTTTACTTAACCATTTGCATGAGCATGATAGGCTTTCTTAAAAACCCTTTTCCTTTTCACTTTCATGTCTTTATTTTTAAAAATTATCTTTTAAAATTAGTTTCGTATAGTTGGATATTGCTGTTTTAAAACACAGTGTGATTGTCTCTGTTTTTTTTTATTTCATTTTATTAATTTTAATGAACACTTACAGAGATTTTGGATTTCCATTCATTCATTGTTGCACTTTTCTCCCTGCCCAGCCCTCCCCCCCTTCACTCCTCTCTTTGAAAAGCAAAAGGAAAAAAGAAAAAGAAAAGCAAAAGAAAAATTCCTTTTTCGGTATACAATCTGCCCCACACCCCTCCACCACCCCAAGTACATTCCCCTATGCAACCTTAATTCTGGACTCTTGTGATAACCATAATACCCTATCATATATTGCTTTTAAATTATTCTCTCCCTCATCTGTTTCAATGCAGTATACATAATTTATCCAGTTTTTCTCAGTCTTACCCCAACCCTGATGTCAGTCCCATTCTACAACAGTGGCATCATGCAGTATTTGTCCTTTTGTGACTGAGATATGTCACTCAGCATAATGTCCTCCAGGGTCACCCATTTTTAATAATAATGCATGAGTTCTTTGTTTTTCAATGCAGCATAGTATTCCATTGTGTGAATATATCAGTTTCTCTATCCATTCATTTGTTGATGGGCACTTAGGTTTTTTCCAACCTTGCTATTGTGAACAAAGCCGCAATAAACATGGGTGTGCATGTATCTGCGTGGATGTCGGTTGTGGTCTCTTTAGGGTATTTTCCCAGTATTGGAATTGCTGGGTCAAATGGTATCTCTAATTGCAACTTTTTGAGAAAGCGCCACACCGCCTTCCACAGTGGTTGCACCGTTTTAACTCCTAGCAACAGTGAATAAGGGTTCCAGTTTCTCCACAACCTCGCCAGCATTTGTTGCTTGCTGTTGTGTTAAATTTTGCTATTCTGAGTATGGTGAGATGATATCTCAGATAGTTTTGTGTCTCTGCTTTTTAATTGAGTGTTCAGACCATTTATATTTGTTTAGATTTAAAATTAAATCTGCCATTTTTATTTTTGTTTTCTTGTCATAATCTGTCCTTAGTTTCTCTTTTTCTTTACTTTTAAATCTATATTTTATCTTTTCTTTCCTTTACTAGGAACTCTACTGGCTTAGTGGTAAGGAGTGATGCTGCCAACCCAAAGGGGTGTGGTTCAAATCCACCAGTTCCTTTGCAGGAGAAGTATGGGCATGCCCTCTGTAAGCTCCCGCCTCTGAAAGCCTGCTAGAGGCAGCTGTGAGTCCGTCAGTTGTGGCTTGGTGGCACAGAACAACATGGGACAGTGTTGTTCGAGTTCTAACGTTCCTAACAGTTATTTCTGTCTCATGACAGTCTCCTTTTAAGTGATAATTACACCATTTCCTGTAAAACACACCCATCACCACTGATTTTGTTTTAACTCATAATGACCCCAGAGAGTAGAAGTACCCTTGACTGCCAAGACTCGGGCAGACTGTGCGCGGGGCAGACCGTCCTGCAGCACAGGGTAGGTTCTGAGGCTGTGATGTGTTGACTGTCAGGACTGGGATGTGTCCTGCAGCACAGGGTAGGTTCGGAGGTTGTGATGTATACAGAGCAGACTGCACCATGTCTCTCCCTTGGAGCCCAGGAGGGGTTGGATCCAGCAGCCTTCCAGTCCACCAGAACACGTTTGACTTCTAAAACTCAAGAGCCTCCCTGCTGTCCAGGGTCCTGACTCAGAGGCCTGCTAGTCTCCCAGGGCGCAGCTTTCTCCCGGAGGAGCTAACGTACTTGAACAGGAGACATGCAGCAGTTTGCAGTGCAGTACACCTGGCTGTGCTACACCAGCAGAGCTCTTTATTTACACCTGTTTTGTGATGTTGCTCTTCTGTCTGTTGTTGTCGGATGCCTTTATACACGTCTCCGTGTATTGTGTATGTTGTTGTTTGCTCTCAAGTCTGTATTCCTAATTGGTTTTGCTAAGATTAGTTGCAAACCAGTTAGAAGAAATGTCAAGTGAACGTTGTCCCAGATGTTTGATTTGCTGTATAACTAACTCCATGATTTCTGACACCAGCAGCCCTGGCTTTGTTCAGGTCCCCAGCTTCTCTATGTCCCTTGGGTTTAGTGGTTCGCTGAAGAGCCATCAAGAGAATGACTCCGTGACTGGAGGTGTGCAGGCCGCTCTTCAGAGACTGGTGAGATTGTAGACCCTCCACGGAAGAAGGCAGGCATCCTGAGATGAAGAGGGCTAGCTCTGGGGTCCCATGAGCTTATATACGCTTCCAGTGGAGTGGGGTTTGTATCCCAGTCTATCCTCTCCTTAATATGATAAATACTTGCTTAGAATAAACAGCTAAGCATTGACTAGGAACGACATTTTGCATAATAAATCTTAGCCACCTGGAAGCCAGAACTGACTCCTAGCTGACCCTCCAGCGGGTTTTCAGAGGCAGTAAATCCCACAGGAGGAGCTGGTGGATTTGAACCTTGTGCCTTTGGGTTCGCAGTGCAGTACCACTAGACCATGGGAACTCGTAGTGTAAAGAAGATTGTGGTTTATTGAGGGCATTGTTAGGTGTTTCTGGCGCTGGTAGACCTGTCAGGGGGGTGCTGACTGGGAGAGGGCGTCTGTGCTGTGTACCAGGCAGCCCCGCTGGCCGCCGAGAGCTTGCTGTCAGCTGCTCCCCCGCCGGTGAAGCTGCTCTTGCTCTCGCTCTGCCCGGTGACGCCTGTGGAACCTAACGAGGGCAGCCGTTTTCCCTGTCGTTATGCCGGTCACTGTCCAGCGCGTGTGGAGGACACGCAGCGTTGTATGTAGGTGGAGGCGGTCTCACAGTCCGCTCTCGAAGCGTCTGCGGGGGAGAGGACAGGCCTTTGCTTGCAGACGGTAAACGCTCCCACTGACAGTGGAGAGACGGCAGGGGGAGTCTGCGTTCTGTGTGCCAAAGCCTTCAGGAGAAGGAACGACCTGCTGGAATGTCACTGTTTTACTGGAGTCTTTGTATCTCTCTCCCCGCACCTGCAGGTTGGGCCTCCGTGTGAAGTGACAGGAGTCACTCACCTGTGCACCGGTCAGGGGATGCCGACCTGCCGGTCTCGCCTGGATAGGAGCGTCCTGCTCTAGATGCCGGCTTCCGGCAGACCCCCAGGCTCCTCCTGGACGCCCGGCAGCCCCCCTTCCCCCTGGCGTGACGATCTCTCTGGCCCCCAGAACATCCGCTGCACAGAATGCTCCGTGCCACCTGGCTGACCACAACCTGAGCTGATGCGGCCTGTCCCCAGTGTCGTCGCGGAGGGTTTGCCACCCGGAAGCACCTCCGGCTCTCACCCCGGCCCTGGGTCTGTGTCTGCGATGTCTCTGCTTCACGCGCTGGGTCCTGTGCAGACCTGGCTGGGACAGGAACTGGAGAAATGTGGCATCGATGCCATGATTTACACGCGGTATGTCCTCAGCTTGCTGCTTCACGACAGCTACGACTATGACCTGCAGGAACAGGTGCGTGTGGGGACAGGACGGTGGACAGATGGCCGTGGCCCCCCTGAGGCCACAGTTGTTACAGCGCAGAACTGGCCCCAGCTGTGTTGCTGACACGCTGTGGGATGCGGCTCTTTCCTTCCTGTTAGTTCTCAAGCCTCAGTGGGCCAGTGAGTGAGCCACTCAGATGCTAACTGAAAGGTCATTGGTTTAAACCCTAGTTGCTCCATGAGTGGGGGTAAGGATGGGCCCTTAGCTCTCCTGTGACAGGTGGAGGGAAGGATTGGCCCTCAGCTCCCGTGACAGAATTGAGAAGGGTGGGTCCTTAACTCCTCTGTGACAGGTGGGAGGGGACAGATGGGTCCTTAGCTCCTCTGTGACAGGTGGCAGGGGAGATGGGTCCTTAGCTCCTCTGTGGCAGGTGGGAGGGGACAGATGGGTCCTTAGTTCCTCTGTGACTGGTGGCAGGGAAGATGGGTCCTTAGCTCCTCTGTGACAGGATGGGGGAGAAGGATGGCCACTTAGCTCCTCTGTGACAGAACTGAGGGAATGAATGGGCCCTTAGCCCAGTGACAGGACTGAACTGAAGGAAGGATCAGTCTAGTTTGTAATGGAGCAGTCATGCTAGTTGTTTCAGCAGGCTGTTGTCAGATGTGACCTCATGGCCTCCAGAACTAGGGGTGACTCCACGCCTCAGGCTCTGGTTCCACTGGGTTCCTGGTGGCTCTGTCCCTGTCAGCATGGGGAATGGTGCCATCACATCTGTGCAGCAGGGCACAGCTTAAACTTGAGCTCCTTGGTGTTTCAGAACGCCATCCTCGTGCTGCTTGGTGGAGTTCACTGCTGTCACAGACAGCACAAGTGGGTGGCCGTCACAGATGGACCCTTGTTTTCTCAGCATCAGATGGCTGGAAGGCTGTGTTCAGGGTGCTGGCTCTGCAGGGAGGAAGTCCTTGTCTCTGTAGTTTCTGTGGGTGTCTTGGCCTCAGATCTCTCTCAGGTCCAGGAGGTTGTCAGCATAGGGACCCTGGTTCCAAGTGACATGCCCAACTCTCAGCATCTCTCCTTGTGAGATAAAAAGTAGGAGCTCTGGTGGTAGTCTTTCAGTAGAAGGCCGTGAGGAGGTGCTCTCGGTGGGAACTGACGTCATGGGACCGAGTGGAAGGTAGAAGGTGATGCAGGCCACTCCGTGAACACACCCCTGCCGTCAGACCATGACACATCATATAGCAGCACACCACCGAGAAGTGGACTGCAGCCAAGGTGACGTTGGGTTTTGAGGACATTGTTTGATCAGTCAGTGGCACCTTTTGCTGCTTTGCCTTTCTCAGCCCCAGCCTGTCATCATTGCTGCCCCGCTGGAGCAGCGTACTGTAGTGAGGGCCAGGAGTGAGGTCAGCGCACTGCAGTGCGGGCCAGCAGTGCGGGCCAGGCGTGGTCAGCCCGCTGCAGTGAGGGCCAGCAGTGCGGGCCAGGCGTGGTCACCACAGTGCAGTGAGGGCCAGGAGTGCAGGCCAGACGTGGTCAGCCCCCTGCAGTGAGGGCCAGGAGTGAGGTCAGCACAGTGCAGTGAGGGCCAGCACTGCAGGCCAGATGTGGTCAGCACACTGCTGGGAGGGTCAGGCTTGGCCGTTCCAGGAATGGCCTGGATCATGGCAGTGGGATTCTAAGCTGCTTAAAGACAGAGGCATTTTTCGTGGTTTGTAAAATGAGAAAGGTAGAAAAATTGCTTGTAGAAGTATATGGATTGTTCTGGATAGCTTTGAAAAATAAAGGCTTCACAATCACAAGGCAGCTGAGTTTACTGATAAGGGTGGGAGAGAGGTCCCTTCCCTGTGTTGGATCATATTGGGTGGTGGGTGCGTGGGGTTTGAAATGTGCTGTTTCTTCTTTGTCCCATCTCATGTGTCCATGTGTGTGCATTTGTGCGCGCGCGCATGCGCGCGTGTGTGTGTGTGTGTGTGTGTGTGTGTGTGTGAGAGAGAGAGAGAGAGATCTGCTCCCAGGTCCACACTGGTGCACTTGATAGTCTAACTTCCATCTGCTCTTGCTGTCTGTCGGTTGGCTGAGGCCGTACTCTATCCAGGGAAACTCTTTGCAGACAGGACAATTCTTTTAAAATAACCCTTAGATTCTAGGCCTCATAGAATATTATGAACCCAGACCGGTTTTAGTGGCATGTGGTGTAATAAGCAGCAGCGGGTGACAGCACAGTAGTGAGATGTTGCTGGCGTTGGTGTTTTGCATGGTAGTGGACACTTCTCCAGCACCACAATTCAGAGGCGTTGAAGCTGTCTGTACTCACTGTCCAGTCTGTACATGTGCAGGAGGCCGTTGGAATTCCCTGACTTGGGTCCCTTATACCTTAGAGGGTAGCGGTGTGGTGTAGGGTCACCAGTGCTTTCAGAGCCAACAGCAAAGGCTGACCACACCCACTACGCTCCTTATGAACACTACGTGGGCTCACTGGGTGACTGCCCGCTCTGCGGTCCCTTCTTCCTCCTCTTCACATGTTCTTCAGATTTCTCTGTTGGGCATGAGTGACCCAGGGGAGTAGGTGGGCAGTGCTGACACTCAGTCCTTCCTGTATGTCCTCCTTGAGGTCTTCTAGGCGAGATCCTGAAAGGTGGACTCAGCCTTGCACCAGTGCCGGCTGCGCACATCTCGCTCCAGAGGCTGGTCCTGAAGCGACAACATCTCTAGTGACAGTGTCTGTACTCTTGACACTGGGTAGACTGGGGCGGTCCACAGTGTCCTGTGATGGTGGCTGTACTCTCAGCAGGGATCGTGTATCCACACGTGATCACTCAGCTTTGTCCAATCTCCTTGTAGGAGAATGACATCTTCCTGGGCTGGGAGAAGGGCGCCTGTAAGAAATGGGGAAAGAGCAAGAAGAAGTCTTCAGACCTCACGCTGGAAGAAATGAAAAAGCAGGCAGCAGTCCAGTGTCTCCGTTCTGCATCCGACGAGGTGGGTCTGTGTTCCACTGTCAGCGGGGTGAGGGGGCCACGGGGGGCCCTGGTCTGTATCTGACCAGGTGGGTCTGCATTTTGCCGTCATTGGAGTGATGGGGCCATGGGTGACCCTGATCTGCATGAGACGAAGTAGGATTGTGTTATGCTGTCAGAGGGTGATCGGGCCTTGGGGGGTCTGGGCGTCTGTATGTGACCAGGTGTATCTGTATTCCTCTGTCACTGGGGTGATGGGGCCATGGGGGGCAGGGTTTGTATCTGACGAGGTAAGGGGGGACTCTTCTGATCTGTGTCTGACGAGGTGGGTCTGTGTTCCGCTGCTAGCAGGGTGATGGGGCCATGGGGGCCCTGGTCCGTATATGACGAAGTGGGTTTATGTTCCACTGTCAGTGGGGTGATGGGAGCTGAATCGGGTGACACCCACAATACTTGGAAAGTCATCATACTGTCATAATTAGACATTTATACTAGAAAGTTTGGACTTCTTTTTTCTCGCTCCCTTTTTGTGTTAAACTTGGTGTTAAGCCTGATGTGAAGATCTGTGAGCAGGTTGGTACCCCAGCAAAGCATCCTGGGCACATTCCTTGTGTCGGTGACGATCTCCACATGACCCAGCACTCTGCCTGCCTTGAGGGTCTAGTCCTTGGTCCAGCGTTGCTCTTAAGGTTCTGCATGCGTGCCCTTAGAGGTCACCTGACAGACCTCTGTCCTTTGCTAGGGAATAGTGCCCTGGGGTGAGAACCGGTGCAGACTGGGAGCGTGGCCAAGAACCACATACAGTCTCCTGGAACATCTTTCCATGATACACCGTCGCTTTGAGCATGTTGTCAGGAGGGCCCAGTCCTTAGACAAAGACATGCTGGCACAGGTGGCCACTCAGAGAAAAGGAGCAAGTCCCTGTGCAGGGTGGGTGACACAGTGTCTGTAGCAGTGGGCTTGAGTGTGAGAGCTGGTGAGGACAGGGCGGGGCGGGGCTCCGAGGCAGCCAGTGACAGTGTTGTGGTCAGAGTGCACATAGGTGTCAGGCACCTGGTTTCCTCTTGATCCCGTAGGAGCCTCTTGCTGTTCTGTTGTCAACAACCAGCACTGGGCCCAGGGGCACCAGGAGGTGCAGACCACAGTGCTCCTGTGACCCCTGCATTTGCCCAGGTGGTTGCCAGTCAGGGGCCTGCTCAGGAGAGCATCCACGGCTACAGCTTCTCAGACACTGCCCAAGCTCCTGAGGAGTCCTCCCTAGATGGTCCTCCCGAGGGGGTCCTGCCAAGGAGATCCTCCTGAAGATGTCCTCCTGAGGCGTCCTCCCAAGGGGTGCAGAACTGTCGAGGGTCTGCGATTATTGGGCAAGACACATACCAGACAATCAGCAGCCTCAGACCTGCTCCTATGGGAAAGAGAAAACAGAATGTTGAAGTCTTTCATTTTTTTATTATTTTTACATGTACCATCAAATCAGATCTGACTGGTACAGGAGGAGATTGCCCCCTCCTTCTCCAGCAGAGCATCTGGTGGATTTGAACCGTTTACCTCTAGGATTGCAGTGCAGTGTCTTGCCACCAGAGCTCCCTTAAATTTTGAATTCTTATGTTCACTTAGTCTTTTTCTCTGTCTTTGAAGTTACAAGCTTGTTTTTGGTATTTGTTTGGTCTTGATAATTAGGTAGAACTCAATTTTGTTTTTATTAAGCCACTAAAAGCAGAATAGAGACTAGTATTTCATCTTTTTTTGGAGGCAGTAAGATTGGAGCTTAGTAAGAACCTGCTTGGGTGGAAGGGAGTCGATTCCCTGGTGACTGTGTGTGGACGGGGTCTGTGGAGCTCATCCCTGGACTCTGAGCTGCGCTGCCCAGGCCGTCCTGGACAGTGGGTGCAGCCCTGGCTGTGTGTTGGGATTCCTGCCCAGGACCAGGGCCGTGTGCCTGCGCTTGGCGGAGCCAGTGTGCGGGCGCTCTGAATGAGCATGTCCGAGCAGGGCATCAGCGGCCAGGTATGGACTGTCGGGTGAGATCCGTGTGCGTACACGGGGCACACATAGCACGCCCCACCACCTGGCCTTCACTGGCGTGGGGACAGTGTCCTCTCCGAGGGTAATGTGGGCACCAGGGCCCCACGGTCACATAGGCGTGCATGTGGTGGGTTGGACACGCACGGCCCAGAGGCTAGTGCCCTATGACTGCTCTGTGTGAACAGCCCTGTGCCCAGGGGTGGTGTCAGGTGACCCTGGCCAGAGTCCTGTGGAGGGAATGGCGCGCAGCGGCCGGCCTGCTCAGCCCCTGCACGTTGGGGTAAGCTGCTGCCTGTGGTCAGAGCGCTGTTGGGGGCGGGTTGTGCCACAGTGCAGGAGTGTCCCCATAGAGGGCCGCCTTGTCCAGCTTGTCCCTTCTCCCTTGGGCCATCTTCCTGTGAGGCCTCTTCCTCCACTGGCAGGGGGAGGAGAGGTGCTGGCAGCGTCGTAGCCCGGCCCTGCTGTCCCTGCTGCCCACTGAGGCCTGCGTCCTGTCGTCTGCGGTGCTGAGTCATTCCTGCTGGGTGAATGGCTGGCTTCTATTTTTAGCTCAGGGAGACTCAGAGGTTGGGCAGGCAGGACCAAGCGGCCTGTCCTGTCTGGGCTGCTGTGCTCTGGCCACTGAACACAGCTGAGTCCTCGAGGGCTCTGTCCTGAAGACGGGCAGTTGGACCCGGATAACTGGAGCGGTGCTGCCCTGGGGATGGCAGCAACGTGCTGGGAATGCTGGCCCCTCCGACCTCGGCTACAGGCTCTCGGGGGCACGCCCTCTTCCCACTGGGGCTGCGATGCTGCCCATAGCCTCTGCTCTCAGGGCGGGTCCCTGCTGATGGGAGCAGGGCTGCCTGGCTCTCAGCCCCGAGCCCGTGGGTCTGCACTTTAGCAAATGTCCAAGGATGCGTTTGGCGGGCTGGCCTAGGCTCTGTGCTGTTTGCGAAGGTGGATCTCTCCTGTCCTTGGGGAGGTGGTGATGCATGTGACAGTGGATGATGTGTGTCTTATGCCCACAGAGCTCAGGCATCGAGACGCTTGTGGAGGAACTGTGCTCCCGGCTGAAAGACCTGCAGAGTGAGCAAGGTGAGCTTCAGGGACGGGAGGAGGTAGCACCCCCAGCATGCCCACTATGTCCCATCAGAAAGGGGCTTCCAGTGGAGCGCCAGGAGGCTTTCCTGGGGCAGCCTTGCTGGGGTCTCTCAGTGGGCTCAGGACAGCCCCTGAGAGCTGCAGGGAGCCTGCCTCAGACCCTGCTTTCAGCTTCTCCGCTCTGTGGCCATGATGTTGGCTAGCAGGCCCTCAGGCCTGGTGTGAGGGTGTGCCCACGTGTGTTCTGAGGGTGGGCTCCTTGCTAGGTCCGCCGTGGGCGGCACCACTACTTCTCGTCCACCTGGAAAAGACCTGTGTGTGCATTCTGCAGACCGTGGTTAGCGGGGGTGGGGTGGGGGGGACGGACACACGTGGGGTCCTGGGTGCACACACCTGCAGACCAGGGTCAGTGGAGTGGACCGCTCTATGGACAGTGGAGGGACTGTGGGGACAGGCTTGGATGCCCTCTTGCTTAGCTCTGAGACCTGAGGGCTCTGTCCCCTCAGTGGGCCTCAAATGCCATGTCATTGAGCCTGCGGGCTATGACCTGGCCACAGTCCCTCTAGCATGCAGAGAGAAAAAAAGAATTTTAACAAGAAAACAAACCAATTTACAGACACAGAAGTTCGCTTACTATCTAGTGAAATAACATTACTTGAGAAACTTTGAAATATCCTATATTAACAAGATAGAAAAGACCTTTCTGAATTTTTAATTCATAACAGAAGAGAAGATTAACAAAAAACTGGAAGGATCTCCCTCCCCGGAAGCAGAGCTGTCCCCAACAGCGAAGGATCAAGTGGAGATGTACGCACAGCAGCACCCCGGGAGTGTGCTTGGCCCTGTTCTGTTGGACCCCCAGCGGCACCCTGAGGCGTGTGCTGCCCAGCCTCCCCTGCGGCACAGTGGGTGACCCTCTGAGGCTCAGTCAGCACCCCGTGCGGCGGGACCTCTGGAGCTTGCACTCTGCCCCCTGAGCACTGCAGGCAGGCCCTGGCCACAGCCTGCTCTACACCAGCACCATCGGGGCTCTTATGTTCATGTGGCGGTCACAGTGGTGGCCTCGTCCCTTTGAGGTGGAGACCCCTGCCTGGTGTATACGAGCCGGGGTCCCAGCTCGAGGTTCAGATGCATGAAATAAGAACTTGAAGATCGCCGTGACTGGGGAGCCTGCTAATCGAATACCCTCACGGGGCCCCTTGTCACGAGTGTCTGTCCCCAAAGGAGCCTGCCTCCCCAGCTGGTCTAGCAAGACCCACCCCACACCACACGAGGGTGACTGACATGAACCACAGTGGGACTGTGGCCACGTGGGGCCCCCTTGAGGGTGGGGGCGTCATGGGGCCCACTCACAGCTGGGGATACAGCTCTGCCGCAGCTGCTGTGCCCCGTTCACTGTGAACCCTCTGTTCTCAGGTACTATGAAGCGTTCCCTCCACTCTCTGAGAAGCCCGTCTGCCTGCAGGAGATCATGACCGTGTGGAACAAATCCAAAAGCTCTTCTTACTCCAGCTCTTCGTCGTCATCCACAGCCCCGCCAGCCAGCACCGACACATCCTCTCCCAAGGAGGGTCCCAGCGAGAGCGAGGCCACCAGGGCGAGGGGCCGGGGTGCGCCCTCCCGCCCCCACGACGGGGCACTGGGCCGGAGCCCGAGCCAGCCCGAGGCTGGGCCGGAGGAGCTGCCAGCGCCTTCCGCAAAACAGGGCCGGCACCGGCCCGAGGGCAAGGCCCGCCCCCGCTCCTGGTCCTCCGGCTCCAGTGAGGCCGGCTCCAGCTCCAGCGGGCCCCTGGGAGAGCCCCGGGGACCCACCAAGTGCGTCCGAGTGCGGCACCGGGCCCGGGAGGCACGCAGCAAGAAGGGGCGAAGCGGGCAGGGCCGCCTCCCAGGCAGGGCGGTGGAGAGGGGCGTCCGTGCGGGCAGCAGCAGCAGCAGTGGCGGCGGCTCCATCAAGCAGCTGTGCAGACGCGGCCGGAGGCCCCCGAAGGAGCCGGGGCGCAGGGACGGCGGCCCCGAGCGCCCGGAGCTGTGTGCCGAGGGCCGGGCCGAGCAGGAGTACAAGGAGGAGCCGCTCTGGTACACGGAGCCCATCGCCGAGTACTTCCTGCCCTCCAGCAGGAAGAGCAAGCTGGAGACCACCTACCGCCACCGGCCGGAGCCCAGCCTGCTCCTCGCGGACGCTGGGGGCGAGCTGGCGGAGGCCGTGCGTGGGCTGTGCGTCGGTGGTGGCCCCCACGGGGCGTACCTTCCCGCCGGCACCTTTGTCGACGGTCACTTTGTGGAGATGCCTGCAGTGGCCAGCGAGGCCATCGGCCTCACTGGAACGTCGTTCTGTTCTCCTTCGGAGGACACGCATCTCACAGATGACATTCATCTGTCAGAATTCACGCACTTCTATGAAGTGGACATTGAGCGATCCATGTTGGATCCTGGTGCCTCAGAAACAATGCATGGAGAAAGTCGGATCCTGAACATGCTCCGAAAGAAAGGCAGCGAGCAGGCGGGCCTCGAGGCCGAGTGTTGTATAGTGTTTGACGGAATGGAGTTGGAAGGGGAGCGTGCAATATGGGCCGAGCCTGCCGGCCCGGGGGCCGCCGAGGGCCTGCTCCTGCGAGGGACCGCGGAGGGCCTGGCCCACTTCTGGGACTGCAGCTCGTCCAGCTCGGGGGACGCTGACGCCGAGAGCTTCGGGGGAGACTCACCAATCCGGCTCTCTCCGCTCCTGGACGGGTCCGTGCTCGGCCCACACCTGCTGGCCAGCGGCCAGGAGCTCTTCTCGGACATTCGTGAAGGATCTGGCATCAACTCTTGTTTTTCGGTGTTTGAAGTGCAATGCAGTGATTCTGTCCTGCCGTTTTCTTTTGAAACACTCAACTTGGAAAATGAAAATGCAGACTCTAGTGCTGCCGTGCTCGGGAAGACCCGGTCGCGACTGCTCATGTGGACCAGAAACAGTGCCTTTGACGAGGACGGACACTGCTCCAACCTCTCCACGAGGACCTGCAGCCCCTGCTCCCACTCGGACACGGAGACGCTGAGCGGCCAGCTGGAAGAGGCCGTGAGCTACGTGGTTCCCGCTGTGTCCTCGCATTACGGTGACGAGGAGCTGCTCGAGTTCCTGCAGGACGAAGCTTGCCAGACGCCCTGCAGGACTCTGGGCCCCATCCCCACCTTGGTTTCCAAGAGGAAGTCGAAGCTGGAGTCTGTCTGTGGAATCCCACTTGAACAGCAGCCAGGAAGCAGAGACGTGGCCAGCCCACCGCCATGCGGAGGCTGCACTCCACCTGGGGACAGCCACCGCTCGGGGCCCATGAAGGGCATCTGGACCCCAGTGGCCACAGTGGAGACAGATGTGATGGGCAGCGAACTGTTCTCTGCCAACGTGAATAAGTACTGCTGCTGTGTGGACACCGAGACCGAGGGCCTCCAGGAGCCCCAAAAAGCCGTGCAGAGGTCGGAATACCGCCTGTGGGAGGGCCAGAGGGGTGGCCTGCAGAAGCCGGTGGAGATGGATGCGGGGGACTACACCACGCCCTCCAGGCCCTGGGATGTGGCTCAGGAGAAGGAGAGTGCGTTCATCCTGGGGGGTGTGTATGGGGAGCTCAAGGCCTTCGGCAGAGATGGAGAGTGGGCCGTGGTGCCGCCTGGCCCCGCAAGGGGCAGCCTGCTGCAGTGTGCCGCCTCGGACGTGGTGACCATCGCCGGCACCGACGTCTTCATGACACCCGGAAATAGCTTTGCTCCAGGCCACAGGCAGCTGTGGCGGCCTGTGGTGTCCTTTGACCAGAATGACCCGCCCAGGAGCGGAGAGTGCGGCTGGGACAAGGGGTTTTCCTTCATCTTCCACGAAGACTTGCTGGGCGCATGCAGCAGCTTCCAGATGGAAGACCCAGGCCTTGAGTGTCCACTGTCATCCCTGGACCTGAGCGGTCCCCTCTCCCAGGTCCTGCACGTCGAGTGCGCCTTGGAGCCTGAAGGGATTGCGTCCTTCAGCCCCAGTTTCAAGCCCAAGTCCATCCTCTGCTCTGACTCGGACGGTGAAATGTTCCAGCCCAGAACCTGCGGCGTGGACCGGACTCAGTACAGGGCCATCCGCATCTCTCCTCGCACCCACTTCCGTCCCATCTCTGCGTCCGAGCTGTCCCCAGGAGGAGGGAGTGAGTCCGAGTCAGAGAAAGAGGAGGGCAGTGTCCCCGTCCTCCCGCAGGCTGACGCCTTCCAGGACCCCCAGGCTGACCTGAAGCCTCTGGAGGAGGATGCGGAGAAAGAAGGCCATTACTATGGGCAGTCGGAGCTGGAGTCCGGCAAGTTTCTGCCCAGGCTGAGGAAGTCTGGGATGGAGAAGAGTGCGCAGACCTCGCTCGATTCCCAGGAGGAGGCGGTCGGGGGCCCCACGGCAGGAAAGCCGGGGCCGTGTCTGGAATGCAGCGAGAGGGAGGCCCCGCAGGGGCCACGAGGAGGCCCGGATGCAAACTGCAGAGTCATGGCGCCGTGCGAGGAGGAAGCGGGTCCCTTCTGCAGCTGCAGGGCCGGCTGCCAGCTCCCTGCTTTTGAGGATAATCTGGTGTCTCCTGGCCAGCTGGACGAGGTATGTGTCTGTGTGCGTGTGGTCCGTTGAACCCAGGCTAGTCGGGCCAGGTGGTTAGAGGATCGTTGAGCGCCGTCCCGTTGGACCTGACCCACGGGAGGAGACTGCCCATCCTTCCCTCGTGAAGCAGCTGGTGGATTTGAGCCACGTGCCTTTGGGTTGGCAGCACAACTCTGGCTGCCAGGCTTGTGGTGTTGGGAATTATCTAAAAGCTCTTGGATTTTATAGGCACCAGTTTAGGATGAATTTGAAGCGGTTGAGTTTAGGTGAAAAGAGTAGTGAGTCTTAGGATAGCGGCTTCTCCTTAACCTTGTTCACGCGTTCGTGCTGTGCTTGAAACCCAGGATACACAGCCCCAGCCCAGCCCGTGTGTGAGGGGCGGACGGTGAGCGGGAGGACTCACTTGAAGCTCCGAAGTCTCCCTTTGTCCTCCCAACCATGTGTCTCTGTCCTCCCCCTCCCCCGTGTGTCTCTGTCCTCCCCATGAGTCTCTGTCCCCACCCTTTCCATGCGTCCCTGTCCCCCATGTGTCCCTGTCCTCCCCGTGTGTCTGTCCTCCCCGTGCGTCTCTGTCCTCCCCGTGCGTCTCTGTCCTCCCCGTGCGTCTCTGTCCTCCCCGTGCGTCTCTGTCCTCCCCGTGTGTC